CCAGGGCTGGTAGCTGTAAAGGTGTCTAAGTGGGTGATAGAACTTTCATAGATTTCTCACAGATGGCGCTACGACTAAAACGTTGTTGAAAAACTAACTACAAAGACACGACCATGAGCACATACAAAAATTCGTGATATCCGCTGGTTCGTGTTGTGGCTTAGTTGGTATAGCGTCTGGCACGGTATGCTAGAAGACGTCGGTTCGAATCCGGCCGGATCGAAGGAATTTTTCAGAGTGTTCAATCTTTGTATTAATAATTATAGTTAATCTGACCTTTTAATATTATTTATATATATGTTTTTTTCATAATATCAAGTGACGGGACGAACAAGTCATGCGCCTGATGGTAAGCTACACGCCTATCCATAACAGTTGCAGTACCACTTAGAGCTTTAAATTGCAAAGATCTGAAGCGGAACACCCTTACCCTTACCCTTCAAAACCGAAACACAGTAATGCTGGCAGTACTTACCTGGACGACGTCTTTCACAAGGAGCTCTACTGCTACTTAACATTACTCACGAAGTAAGTACATGTATTTAACTTACTGGATATTGTTTATGTCACGTGAGTAGCGTTACAACTATTAAATTGTTTACAAAGGAAAATGTAGAGCACGCTTGAATATCAACTTGTCAATATGTTTTTTTAAAAATGAACATACGTGTACGGGTCACGTCACTGTTCCCTATGAACTTATAGATTTAATTAATTTTTATTTTATTTATTTACTCACATGACACCAGCAATGTTTGCAGAAGCACATACAGATGGCTTCCATTCCATAAAAAGAAAGCGACATATACACTTGATGCAGCGAGTTCGCGCCTGCACCAACATCCTCCAGATTAGGGAATGCAAACCGGATACCCGGTTAACCGAAAAAAACCAAATTTTGGAACTCGGTTTTCAGCTAAGGAAAAACCGTTTTTTTCGGGATTTTCAGGTTTTATCTTTAAACTATTAAAACGTAAGTTTGTAACTCATAATATCATTGTATCTTAGTTAATAATGGTAAATAAACGTTAATTAAATGCTAGGAATATGGGTAAACTACAAGACAGCGACAGCGTCCTCGAGACGGAGACGGGTAACTTTTGGGATAGAGAGAGGCGAGAGAGGTGCGCGAGGGAGGTGCGCGAGCAGTATAGCAACAAATTCGTGTCACCTATGCTTTTGGCAGGCTTTTCAACAGAATCCAAGGCGGCTCGTTGGTATTCAGCAGAACTATTCCATAGGTGGCAATGTACTCTATACGACGACCGGATGTGTGCTTGGTACAGCTTTTTTGAAGCAACTGTCCCGATGTGAAGTAACACCTCGCCTTGGAAAAGGATGTCAAGCTTCCTGGTTGCATTTTTGGCCATGGATTCTATGCATTTACCGAACAAGAGACTTGACAACAGGTTCATTCCAAGTAGCTTGTTATGGTCGGCTATCGATATGGATATGTCACAAACAGTCGGAGTCAGGTCAAAGGGACTCCATTCTGTGGAGAATAGACACGCTGAGAACCGTAGCGGTTACCTCTAAAGAATAAGTCATGTAAAGAAGACGTTTCGTCTGGCGAGATTCATGGCAGGGCTTACCTCTGCGTATGCTATCATATAAAACATTTTCATTATAAGCATTAGCATTTTATCATCTAAATTAAACATAATATATTTAGTAAACATATTCATTTATTTAATTTCTCGTGAATGGTATATGTTGGAGTTAGGACTACAGTAGGTATATACATGTAATACCCAGTAAAGGCTGTAAAAGTATATTATTGCCTTCATTTAATACAGTGTTAAATATTTGTTATTACATTTGATAAGCTCGATTGTATTAATAGTATTTTGTTCATGCACAAAATTACAAACACAGATTGTAACAATATAGGAAGGAACATGAAGTAACAGGCCTACCCCAAGCGGAAATACGTGACCGGTTGACCTTACTCAATGTCAACTACAGTTTAAGATCTGGGTATTTCAGTAATGCGACTTTAATGGTTGCCCTTCTTGTAAGTAGGTGCAGGTTATCTTGTTTCTCGGAATCAGTATAAAGATTATTTTGTAACAAATATATACATTGTTCTTTTCTACCGATTAAATTTATTTGATAGTTTAACTCTTAAGTATATTGCGACTTTTCCTGGATCATAACCTACAATTATGTTAAAGTGAAGCATTCAAATATGTTTTTTTAATTTATTATTAGTTTATTGTAGGAAAGACCAGAAAAGCAGGAGGAATTTACGACAGGATGCTGATGGTAAATGTCTAAAAAAAATCTTATTAATATTTTTTTAAATTTTGTATTAAATTATATGAAATGAAAAATTTTATATTGACAAAAAAATCATTTGCTGTTGTGTCTATATCAAAATGTAAAAACAAATGTGCATCATAACGTTTCACAGAAGTAATACTTTTCTCGTATATGACTACATTAACAGAGTTCTTAATTTAGCATGTTTTTACTAATAAATAAATGTTAAAGTATCACACACAGTGGAATTTTTTTACAATACTTAATGACAATTTGTCGTTAAGTATCGTATTTTCGTTCATAGAATGCAATTATTTCGGTAAATGTTACATATTGTTGTATCGTTGTTATAATATACCACTTCATATTTGTTTATTTTCACATGATAGCTTATATCATGTCCCTGGCTCCTATTAAGAGGTGCTTGTAGATAAAATAGTAGCAAACTGTTAACTCGGGAAATTAGGTTAATTAGAACCCTTATTTTTTTTTCATTTTCTTGGTGTTTTTATATACAAGATGACCTTATTAGTCGTTGCTGGACGCTACAGCTCTTGATGCTTTAGATTTAAAAACAAAAAACGTCACAATCGGTTTTTAGTACGGTACTTAAAAATATTGCTCTATAATAATAAATATATTATTATTACGTTTTTCCTTTTCCGTTATTTACCTAAATCCGTATTCTAAATTTCATAACTGTATTCTGTTTATTAAATAACGTTTAAAAACAAAAAAGAATATTGCTAGCTATTAAGATGATTCATGCTTCATATTGAGTATATTTCCGTTCCATCATGATACAAATCAATAAAAACGTTAACTGTGGTGATTCTAGCTCTTTTTGGGCAAATCAATGTTGCGCTACCATTGTTTAGTAACAAAAAACTAAAATTAAAAGCTGGTATATCAGCGTTTGTTGCAAGTAAAAGTTAAGGATTAAAGAAAATTTCTGTGACTAATAAAGATGGTATTTAATATTACACCTGGTGACACTTGAAGTCAAATGAGAACGAATGAGCTGTTTCTTTTTTTGCAGCTTGGAAATTTTCTGAGACCTGGTTTCTAGAAATTCCGAAAATTTTATTCTAATTATTTCTTAATCTTCTTCTTCCTGTTCTTATTCCACACTAGGTGGGGTCGGCACAACATATAGGTATTTTTCTTCCACTCTCCCTTTCAGCCGTCATTTTTATACTCATGCCTTTCTTTTCCAGTAATTGTTCCTACACTCCAACTCGCAATCCTGAGTCTTACTTCCCGTCGCACCCGTCCCTGATGCAACAACCCTACTCTAATTATTTCTGACTATACTTATATAATATATACGTGGCTAACCTAGTTCAATAATTTTTATTATATTTACAGAGAACTCTTTGTCCTTGGGAAAGAGTTCGTCCAGGGAAGTACTGCCACCTTACCTATTTCTGCCGACAAGCAGTAATGTGATCATTACCGGCCATCCGCTGAGGCTTCCAGTAGCAAACGGATCTTGGAGCGCCTCTCTATGGCGGTGGAGTTCACCGCTGGATTTTAGTTGGAACGGGACTACCGCCCAAAAGTCCCACATAACCGCTCGCTGCTCCCTCGAGCCGAGTGATACCACTCGGAGAGGATGACGCGTTTCCCAGTGATAAAAAAGGCACCTCAGATTTTTGTGGTTTAAAGCCCTGATCGGCACGCAACCGTTGTTCAAATTCAAAATTCAAATTCATTTATTCATATCAGACAACGTAGTCTATAATAGTTATAATACACAGAATTACATCACATTACTAATTATATTACATATTGGTTATATTAATTATATCCGAAGTTACATAAATGAAATTTTAACCAGTGTCCAATGTCAAAATGTTATAGACAGGCATGTCGCTTATCACCAGGCGCACGACTTGTTTGTCCCGTCGCTTGGTATCATAAAAGAAAAACGATGAATATATTAACGACGATTTTGGATTTACGACTTCAAAAATTAAAACGTAAGCATCTGAAAATTGGATTGTTTTTATATTAAGGTATAAGAACCGAAGATAGCAAACAGCTGATAATACTCTAATAGCTGACGATACTTTCGATTTCATTTTACTATAATTGTTTTATCAAAGGTTATATTTATCTAAACAACGGACTATAAATATATCTCGCCAAGGAACGTTAAATATTTATATAAAATGCACTAAATAATTTACAGAGCCTCGAACTAACCAAACCTAGTTTAATGTATTAACATAGTACCACATATTTAATACGTCATACGTCGAAGAAGGTCCATAACCCTCGGAAAATGTGTGAAGTCCCCAACTCGCATTTTATTCGCATGTATTGATGATGATGATGCTGATATCTTTAATACAAAAATACTTAACATTGCAGTTATCACTATGCTTCATTTTCTAAATACTATAAATTTTCTAAACTTTGAAAGCCAATTGATAAAGTTTGATAATTAAAAGTAAACATTTTGAAGTAAATGGAAATGATTCTGTAGTTATAGGGTCTCCATCGACATTAAGTAACATTAAATTAATTGTCTTTATCATAAAAATTGGTGCATTGATATTTATAGCTATATAGCACCTGGGATGCGACATAAGGCCTCTTATCAATGGTTTAGGTTGAATTGGTTGCTTTGTCAAGTTGCTATTGTGATTTAAAGTGTTCGTAGACTGACACATTCGCAGACGCACAGTGCGCGGTGTCTTGGCGCACGAGCTGCACGTACTTCAAACGCAACAACCTTCAACTCTTGAGCAAGCCTCCCAATGTTCCTTTCCTAAGACCTAACATAGTAGCCATGAATACAAATCTAGTACAATTTAATTAGATTAAAAAAAATTTATATTTCAACAGTGATATTTATAAGTGACATATACTTTTTTAAATATTTATAAATAATAATTGTTAGTGTAAGTTTCGATATGGAGAAATATTTTGTGTTAATATTTTTGGCTGTCTCCTGTTGGAAGGGGTAAGTTATCTTAGGTGATTATTTATTATATAATCATTATATTAAACAGTACCCTTATATAAAAAATAGCATTAATTCGTGCATATTACACTGTTAGTAAATAAACAACAGATAAAGGGTAATTATTTAAATAACAATGAATTTGGAGTATTGCATTAAAAACTTGGACGTCAATGTACGTTTTATATTGAAAACTTTGACGTGAGTGAATCACAAAAATAAATATTTTATAGATATTTTATATCAAATATATTTTAAGCAGGTATTATTTAATCGACTTAAAAAAGGAGGAGGTTCTCAATTCGTCTCTTGTTTTGTGTATATGTTACTCGTTTTTGCCGACATTTGTGAACCGGATTTTGATAATTTTTTTTTTGTTGGAAAATGGGTACCTCTGTAATGGTCGCATTCAAATTTGAAGAACATATTCCACCTCGAAGGATGGCAAATTAGGGAATTAATCCGGTTCATGTAGTTTCACTCACTTTCCAATACGATCGTTTTCTATAAAACTTGGCACATAGGTGTGATTCCAATTAAAATAATGGTGGTCTAGAGGTGGTCTGATAACTAAAATGACAGACAGATCAGAGGAACTCCTCAACAGTGTACAACAGTTACCTCGTGTTTGGACTCAAGTGATTCGTTTTGCCAAAAAGTTTCCAATTTTTCTACAAATAATTATTAATATGATAATATTGAGAGATATGTAAGTGTTGAAATAGATAAACGTTTTTTCACACAATTGTATTCTATTATCAGCAAACTCGAAGTGGTTCCAGATTCATATCTGGTAAGTATAAACACTCTCTGCTCCATAATTACATTAATTATTTAGGTGTGTTCTCTAGAGCAGGAGACTCGGAATACCTTAGCCATATATAATTGAGGATACATCCCCTTGGGTGATTAAGTCATTTGGCGTATTTTTCTCTCACGCCTTAATATTAATATAATATTAATTTAATATTAATCTTAATATAATATTAATATTAATTGAAAATAATGGCTTAACACGTGAAAATGATGTGTTTGTTTTCATTTATATTATCAAATTAATATCGAATCTAAAAATAATAGGTACTTCATGGTTTTTTCAATATGTAACTATATTATTCATGTGAGTAACACCTAAAGATTGTGTGTGAAAAGTCTTATTGAAAGTGGCATAAATTTACATAACCTCCAAATTAGCAGATTACAAAAGTTACAATTTGTATAGCAGTTTACAGACGTCGAATGAAGGTGTATTGTTTAAAAGAATTCAGCAAAAATAATAAACGTGGTAATAATGACGACTGGGAGAAACGTAGAGACGCTAAATTAGTTTCGTCGTTGTATTATAATGGCAGATAGTTACTGCGGACATATCTCTAAATTACAGTATACGAAAAGTTGAGAGCTAGTATATATGTTGGTGTGGATATCCTAAAAAGATTTTGCAAATATTTTGACAAAATTTTGTATAATTTTATTGCCTTGTTACTTTTATATTACTATCGTATACAACAATAAATAGCTAAGCAATAAATACAGCGTACAACACTTTGATTATCCTTAAGTTACTTTTTATGATAGCAGAGTTTTATATAAATTGCAGCTTTGCTTAAACATGGCAATTGTGGTAAACCCTTTTTTTGTAACCTACGTTCAACAAGACTACTTTGCGTTGATGTGTTGGTAGATCAAGTGAGAAATTGGATAGACAAGGGGCTCGATTAGGGATATGACGTAACTCAAACATTTTGAAAGAAAACTATAAAGGTGATGATATATTCTTAAATCGCATAGCACACTATTTATCATACATTTACGAAGCATTGTATGGCATTTTTTTTTCAAATTGTGTAATTCAATTAGTTCCGTAGTATTGAATGGAAATAGTTCATAGTAATGAAACGAATTATATAAGCGTTTGTAATTTAAAAAGTAAAAAAAAATTGCAGTAAATGGTGTAATTTTATTGACAAGTAAAGAAACAGTGAAACGTGTTTAGACAGTATTGTTATTTAGCAATTTCGTCCATAGTTCACTTATAGTTCTTTTTTGTATAAGTTGTTTTTGACCAAAACAACAAGAAAGGAGAGTATGAAGTGTGTACAAAAAGAAAGAAATAATTATAAGCAGGATTCCATATGTATGCCGTATTTGCGATTTTCATTTTACGTAATATACTGTTCGTATAGATATAGATATAGATAGTGATTTTTTTCACTCTATAGTTTTATTACACAAAATGGCAATAATTATAATTAAAAAAAATAAGTCATTGTTTTAAATCTAGATTCTCGAAACAAAAAAATTAAAAATATTAAAATAATTTACATATAAATTGTGTATCCTGCACGTTTTTTTTTGAATATTAAATAATGACAACGGCGTGTGCCATATTGTTTATTTTTTACTTTAATCTAAAACCGGCTCTGCTCATTAGTGAGAGAATGAGGTTAACTCTATTCAGTTTTAATATCTCCGCCGCATTGTAATTGTGCCTTAATGACTGTGCTGTAATAAAACAAAATCAAACATTAATTATTTATAGTGGAAAATTGCGTAATAATGCGGTCCTAGTTGCGGCTACTATGTTTTCCAGCCTTGCACTTTTTCTCAGGAATCATTAAATAAAAGGACATCTATTATCTGAATTCTTGTGTTAATCACTTTATCTGTCGCTTCTTATTCTTCTTCTCTTCGTGTCGATGGCATACACTTTAATGTTTGCCGTCGAAAGAAAAGAAGATTGCCGTTGAAAAAATTTGCCAATTGGCGTAAGGTACTTGTCGATTGTTGCTCAAGGCGCGCCAGACATATAGGAAAGAAATGATATTTATTATGCATATCAGAGGATTTTGAAAATCATAACATTAGCTAGTAAACTAGTAAAGGGTTAAGAGTATGACAAGCCATTCTATGTAGATTACGACAAGAACGGTTGCAAACTTACCTACTCACTACCTATAGTAGCAGTAGAGCTCCTTCCGAAAGAGTTCGTCTAGGGAAGTATTGCCACCTTATCTATTTTTGCCGCCAAGCAGTAATGTCAGCATTGCTGTGTTCCGGTTTTGAAGGGTAAGGGTGCTGGTGAAATTACAGGCACATAGGACTTAATATAATAATATAACTTATGTCTCAGGGTGGCAGGCGCTGTGGCAGTGCCCCTCAGATCTTTGCGATTTAAAGCTCGGGAGTGATACTGCAACTGTTATGGACAGGCGAGTAGCCCTGCAGGCGTACGACTTGTTCGTCCCGTCACTTGATATTATATAAAAAAAATTCACCGACACCCTGCTAATTAAGAAATAATACGTAATTTTCGTTACCTAGTGACCTCAGTGTCAGTAATTTAACAATCAACTTTTTCGATTTGTTATCCGTTAACCTAACATTAAAGTATTGTCATTTACAAGGATTTCCTCACGGATATAAGGGCTGTGACAATGACTTTAGCATTTTTATTTGCATTCCGATAAGGTTCGTGATTGTGCTAAAAACTTTAAATATTAGAGATTAATTAACATTTCAATAAAATTAAGTGTCTTCTGATTTGTTCCGATCACTTATAATTTATTTTGCTAAAGACGAACATCATCGATCGAATCGTCGTAATAGAACGACATCAACGAGATCGTATTAAACAGAATCAGTTACACTTTTGCACACATGTGACAATAACGTATCAATATCATTAACTATCGATGTATCTGTGAAGATAAAAAATCTTTGTTTCAAATAACTGAAGGGGAAAGTGGTAAAATAAATTATACCTCTAACTACGTCTATCTATATCTATTGCATAATATTTTTTATTTACTTATTGTTTACACATAATATATATAGGGATCGTAATTACGAGAACCGATTTCACTTTCAAGAAAATATATGTTTCTTTTTAGATTGGCATCTAAGATTTTTTTGCAATTCATGATACGTATAGAACAACCTTTCGAGAGTACACTTTCACTTAGCAAACTGTGTGACCTAAGGAGCAAGGTCCCAATTTGCGTAGCAAGGTTTAACAAGGCTTCTTAGGACTAATGAGCGAGTTATAATCTTAAAGTGACAGATAACAAGGTCAGGTAATTTTGAATGTACATAACTGGCTTATATTGTACGACTAGAATATCGCAAAGAATATCCAATTGAAAACTAGTTTAGGGTTCAAAATATAATGTATTATATGGTAACGCTGTCTTTGGCATAAAAAATACACACAGACAACTTATCAAACATAAATAAATGTTAAATTTTATTGTTCTAAAAAAAAACTTTTTCTCAAATTTGTAAATTATTACTTTTATTACATATGAGTGGTGTTGTTGTAACAATGTTCAAATTTTTAACAATGATTATATCATAAGTTGCAATAATGGATTTATTAAAATTTTAATTAGCACTATAATCTCAGGGGGTTTTACACATAGGCGGTGATACCACCGTGAAGAGCACACTGCAAGGTTCGGCGACAGTGGGGTTATCCGCTTTGAAATTTGTATAATATAATAATTATATGATATGTTATGTAGACGTATAATTAAACATATAATAATATGTATATTTGTTCTACATTTCCATTGACAAAGTTTCGTAATAGTTTTCTAAACTAGTACGAAACTTTGTCATGTATATGTATCATGTATACATCAAATATAAAATGTTCTTATTTGATAAATAAAAAATATTATTATTCTGGCCGAAAATAAAAAATAAGACGTGTTTAAAATAACAATTTGCTGGTTTCGTATGTATGACCCATTCATTGAAACTAGTGTGGTGACCGTACACAGACACTTTAGGGGATCAATAATTTGATTATGCGATAAATATTTAGAAAAAAATATCTACTCGCTATTTGCAAGACATTAATTGCAAAAAAACGGCTATAATAAGATAATAGGTATTTTTATCGTTCTAAGTTGATTTTTTTGTTAATCACAATAATTTTGACTTCGTAGTTATGAATTTATTGCTTTATGTTTATTAAAGTTACTTTGCATTGATGCTTGTATGTTTTTCTTTACCACTATTGAAACAGGTGCCGGAGTAGTACAAATAGAAGAAAAAATAGCACATGAGACATAAATATATCGCAAGTAGCGAGCGAGAGAACAATGTAATGTAACGCTAGTAATACTTTCACGCTTAAACAGCAATGTAACAAACCTAAGAGCAATTTAATTTTACAATCTTAACGATGTCGAACGAGTTTCAAATCGGACTCTCGGTTATTAATTGCGAAATGGGCCTAGTTCAATGTTCAATCTAATGCCACCTGGGCATGGTTGGTGGCCCTGAATTGGACGTCAGCTGAGCGTTAAGTGCATAATGTTGTTAAATAAAGCGTAATGCCACTAATAGTAAGTTATTGTGACACATAAATTGTTTATGCACGATTTATGAGGAACCATCTATGCTGTTGTATTAAAACTTTGGTTGAGTAAATATCTAGTATAATTGGATATATAAATAGGACATTTTTTTTATGATATTGGACAATAATATGTTTTTACTAACAAAAACTAGAAGGTTTTTGTCAAAATTCAGTACAGGGCCATGAGCTCGTCCTGCTTGATATTTAAGATTTAAATTCAGCTGTATGCCGCTTACGATAAAAACCATAGTTTAATAATAAGACAACTAGTGCAATCCCGCCTGTTTAACCTTTGTTAAATGCAATAATTACATAAAAGTAGATATTTCTATATCAGCATCGCGGATTAGAATGTCGGTTATGGAGTATGATCATCAAATACAAATGAAATGCTAGTTATGTATAAACATTTATATTATTACCTTTGTAAATAAATAATTATAATATTTAAAAATATTTCAAATAATTTAAACACCGAACGAAAACGCATTGTGCAACTTGAGTGCTGTGCGAGATTGTGCTCACGTGAGCGTCTGTACACGGGCGCGTGGTGGGCGTGTACACAATACAAGCTGTTTTGCTACGTTTGTATGGAGTTACACTGTTCGTCTTAATTATACTATGAAAAAATAATACATAGTTCAAGTTTGATTTGCTGTCAGGTCAATGCTGTCCACTGTAATTTTCCGAAATATTAATAGGTATTAAATATTAATCAATTTGGTATGAAAATTACGATTTTATTTCGTTCTGTTGCGATTTGACATCGACACATTTTCATACGAGTGTATGTACATCACACATTGAAAGCAACCCCGTCGCTAAACAATAATCTCATTTTTTTCTAATTTAAACTTATTATCAGAAACCTTCATTTCGTTCAGGGACGGTATTAATTTTAACGTGCGATATATAGGTAGATTCCTACCCATATCGTTCCTATATTGTTGCACGTGTATGTCTAAGAATGCTCTAATTCGATGATTCCCAAAGTGGTGTATATTGACCCCCGGGTGTTTGTCTTGACCTACTACGGGTCCATATCAGCGAAAACAAAAGAGGTGCATAAACGTAAAACGGGTACCACGAGACCAAACATTTTGGATTTCCGTAAATGCAATAATCCACATTACACAGATAGTATCTATCCACTTACATAATATTTTCTTATAGTAAACATATAAATTACATATGAAGTTCTTGAACATATCACAACAAACAAGATATTCGTTTCGATAAATGTATAAAATTTAATATCATTTTTTTTATAAACATTCTCCCTAGCACTGTCAAACATACATTTGAAGTTGATAAATTTCTAAAAAAAAATCTATATAACAAACGCAGTGGATCTAAGCAAATCAGAAGACGTGGGCACGTGCGTGGTCCACAAGACGAAGAAGTTTGGGAACCTCTGCTCTATGATTTTTTGCGATTACGAGTGCTTTTCAGAGATATCTCAAATTGAATACGTGTGTACAAACTCATGTATAGGTCCATAGGTAACACCACCCGCATGGTAGGTAGAGACTATGTATCTCCACTTATAATATGAACATTAAGTAAATATCAAAAGACTAAAAGATGATATTTGTCAAATAGTGCATACCCGTATGGTTGTAGTTATACATTATTATTATTTTACATTATTATTTTATTGTTCCAAGAAAATTTTATGGACATATTATTATTTAAGGTAAACACGAACAGATAATCTTGGCAATTATTATTACGCTTTGCAATGTTTTATCTCATGTCATATACCGTGTCCAAATAAATAATAAACAGGATGTTAAAGAAATCGTAAATAAAACTTGCAGAAATCTCTAACTCGAATTTAAAAAAAATCAACTTTCTGCTCAAATAGATAAGACAACTATCCAAAAGTTGATACGGAAAATATTGCATGAAGTTTCTTAAAATGCTAAAGTTACTAAAGTTTTAGAATACCATTCCAAAAGATAATTTTTAAACCTGTTTGTCTAGTTTTTGTGAATAGTTTGGTACTCAGGTTAGCCAGTTTGCTATAGCTAGTTCTTTTTTGTTTACGCTACGGTTTGAGTTTTTCAGGCAGTCTCAGTGATAGTTATCTTATAAGCCTCATAAATAAAGATTATATATGTATTTTGCTTGTTTGTCATGATAAATGGGATAATATGTTTGTTGTCGTGTAATAATATTGTGGGAATGGTTTTATTATTGTTGAATCATTAATGTTTAAAACTATGTATATTTTTGTAATAAATTGTGCTTTGGTACACTCTTGTAGATTTAGTTGTTAATTCTTGACGAAAACTAATACGATTATTGTAAACGTAAATGTAAAAAAAACGGCAGGTATGGCACCTTTAACATTGGACAGTGGGAAAATTGACTTGCTTCACAGGGTTCCTAAAATGTGACATAAACTTTATGTGCTTAACTAACTAATTTAAACACCGAACGAAAACGCATTGTGCAACTTGTGTGCTGCGCGAGATTGTGCGCACGTGAGCGTCTGTACACCGGGCGGACAACTAACTTTAACTTTATAATATCTATGCTATTATTGAAAACAACTTGTGTGCGTGATGTCAATTAATACTATGTGATAATAAATTTCAGAAACGCTGAACGCATAGATATAGGAGGTGGAGGGAAGAGCAACTACACGTTCCCAAAGGAGTTCATTTTTGGAGTATCAACGGCTGCTGCGCAAATAGAAGGAGCATGGAACCTAGATGGTCATTTTAATTTGATCAATATTCTTAAATCATACACTCAACATTTTATGCTAGAACATGCGGTATCTTTTCGATACATTTTTAAAAATTTTCATAACCTATCGAATTAAAAAAAAATTTTTATACCATCTTGCAGTTTGTTGTAGCTGAAAATATAACAAACATATTTTTTTGCAGGAAAATCAGAAAGTATTTGGGATCACTTAATTCACACACACCCCGAATTCGTAAAGGATCATACAAATCCCGACGTCGCGGCGGATTCGTATCATCTGTACAAGAGAGATGCAGAAATGATACACGAATTAGGGGTCGACGTATATAGGTTTTCCATCGCCTGGCCAAGAGTATTGCCAACAGGTTTTGCCAACAAAGTGAATGCACTAGGCATCCAATATTATCGTAATCTTATCGACGAGCTACAAAAATACAATGTAACACCAATGGTCTCTATTTACCATTGGGATCTGCCTCAGAAATTGCAAGACATTGGAGGATGGACAAATGCACACATAGTTGACTACTATACTGATTACGCTAACATTTTGTTTAAAAACTTTGCGGACAAAGTGAAGTATTGGGTAACGTTCAACGAGCCCATGCAGACATGTTTGGAAGGTTATGGAGGCACGTACCGTGCGCCGGCGTTGAACCGACACGGCATTGCTGAGTATCTCTGTACTCATAACCTTTTGAAGGCCCATGCTAACGTCTATCATCTCTTCGATAAACAATATCGTCCTGTGTACGGAGGTAAAACTACTCTTCCTTTTTTTTTCTTCAAAATCAATGGGTATGAAGAGCGGGTGTTGAATTTAATACGCCTTCCTGAATGTTACAGGTAAAATCGGTATGTCCTTAGACTCGAATTGGGCTATACCCAAAACGAATTCGACAGAAGATCGTGAGGCGGCTGAACTCTATCTGAAGACTCATGTAAGTTTTGCGATATTCTAAATACCTATTGTAAAAAAAAAACCATAAGCAAACAATATAATGGCAATATTACAAGTATAAAGAAGCTGTTAAAGTGAAAACTATACGTTATTCTTGTATGTAAAAGTTTGAAATGCAAATTATATTAAATTGTGCTTGACATTCATACAAAGCGAGACAAATTGTAGTCTACAAAAGAGAATGAAATCACTTTTGTCTGAATGACAATGGTTAATTTTCGGATTTTTTGCTTTTCAGACGGGATGGTATGCTCATCCAGTATACTCAGCAGAGGGCAATTATCCGCCAGAGTTGATTAAACTTGTTGACGATAAAAGCTTGAAGCAAAATTACAGTCGTTCTCGTTTACCAAAATTTAGTCCTGAAGAAGTACAGTTCATAAAAGGCACGGCCGATTTCTTTGGGTTGAATCATTACACTAGTTACTTATTAAGTATGGCTGACAAAGAAGTTGGAGCAATACCGTCTCACGAGAATGATGTTGGAATTGTCAGAGTCCAAGATCCTTGTTGGCCTTCGAAGTCATCTTCGGATTGGTTGAAGGTGAGATGACACTCAGAAAGATAAAGTACTTAAAATATTTTTCTTGTGTTTGTAATTGATAACAGTGTAAGATTATTTCTGTAGAGATATGAAAATACGACGATGCTTAGAATTTTCAAAGTAGGTAGTAAATAATCTTGAGGTTCTATTGAATAAATCCGTTACTCAGTAACGTGTCTATTCATTCACAGGGTTTTATATTTACCCACGTTCATAGAGGCACTAATTTTGATTCGACGTCTACGTTTGACGACTTTGTAAACAGGGTTAAGAGTACGCCCAGTAACAGTTAATCTTTAATTCAAGTCTACTACAGGAGCGGAAATCTGAAGTGTCAAGCATTATGTGCTGTAGACTGGACGTTTTTTAATCTATCGATTCCTTACAAGCAAATATGCATGCAAATAAGCAAGCAGTAGCTTGTTGGCTTTCAGCTTGGTACTTGTTTTTTAAAAATATATTAGAACAAATATAATATATGCGAAGTGAAAATACAATGAAAATAACTTTTATGTGGAACAATATGACAATTATGCCAAATTATTTTTATACAAATAGCTATTCGAACAAATGATTTTCATATGCAATTAAAAATTGTAAAGTAAAATTATACCAAACGTTATATCAAAGTAAAGAAAGTTAGCCTAAACTAGGGAATACGTATTATTATGAATTACTTGATTGAATTCCCAAAGTGCCACGCCTCGACCCATTCCACTGCAACTTAGTGGTTCTACTCCAAGCTACTATGTCAGCGGAAAAAGAAAATAGGCTATGCATGAGACGTTAATGGGAGTCCACGAGATTGGAAATCCGTTTAGTATCTATGTAAACCTATAATATACTTTCTTATAATAGACATAAATTACCCATGAAGCACTTAAACATTTTACAGATAATACATTCTGTTAGACAAATGTATAAAACTGTAGTAGCTTAAAAATGACCTTTTCAAATGCAAACATTTTACCTATGGAATAAATAATTATTTGACTTTGACAACATCATTTTTTTTATATCGTTCCTCGCTAGCTCTGCAACTATCGAACATATATTTGTAGTTGATGAATTTGTATAAAAAATCAATATTAGAAAGGCAGGGGATCTACGCAATACAGAAGAAATTGATACGTGGTCTACCAGACAAAAAAGTTTGGGAGCCTCTGTTGTAGATGCAAGAAAACATCGTGAGGAAAATTGCATGTCATAAAAGGTTCCTAACTTACTGAAGACATGCGAATGACGTTCCTAATTTGTACGTTAGGCCAATCTGATGATCTACTTACGTTTCCATACGTTGCCTTGTAACTTAATGTTAATTCATCAATTTCCAGGTTGTACCCGTCGGCTTTCGACGTCTTCTTCAATGGGTGACTAAGAACTATGCAATCAATGTTCCTATAATAGTAACAGAGAATGGTTTCGCTGATTTTGATGGCGTAGCAGACACGGCAAGATGTTCCTATTACAAGCATTATTTGAATGCTCTATTACACGCCATACACGAGGATCGCAGTAACGTGGCGGGCTATTTTGCATGGAGTTTAATGGATAATTTTGAATGGGATGATGGCTTTAGGTAAGTCTGGTTTTTGCCATTTCTAGCTCTAAGCCTGTATTTGGAGAAAGCTCCAACTTTTATTTTATTTAAAAAAAATTAATACGTAAATTAATTTGTTTTTAAATTTATGTAGTTTATTATATTTCTTTCATAACCTCTTACAGCCGACGGAAGAGATTTCTTTTTGAGATAAGTCCACCTTTGCTTGCTTTCTGTTAATCTAATATTTCTGTTGTATTTATTTGGCGCAATAAAGAATGTATTATGTTATGATGATAAATAATTTTGAACCGTGTAACTTTTTTATCAAATAAAAATCGACCTCTAAAGTTTGCTCCGCTTTCGCTGTGTTCATTATCGTGGTTTTCTCAACGGTAACTGAAAAGCATACATAATATGGAAGTCCTCGTCAAAACGAATAATATGAGCCCAAATACAAAGTTGCTATACACTGTTGAAGCGTTCCTGTCTCGCAATGACGCCATCTCTACATTTTGAGAGAAATGTTCGCACAATTTAGAGCGTACTTTTCCACATTTTTCCTAGATGGCGTAGTAACTAATAAATGTAAAATTAAGAAGTACACCATTTCTTAGTTATGAAAATGAATAGGGTTGATTGCTTTAGAATCGTCCAATTCATTGCTAAAGGCGATTGAATGGATTTGGAAATATTACTTCGTCGGCTAAATTTATAAATGTCGTAACCGCCATTGATGTTGACTGTTGGCACAAAAAACAGAATTATTAGAAATAATTATATGACAATCTATGACTATTACTTTATAACTAAAAAATGTGTACAAATTATTTTCTAAGCTTTAATTGCCCAATATTGCACTTGAAGAGTAAAAATGGGATTTCGTCCAAAAACGGAGTCAGACAGTTTTCAAATTTAGCCAACGCCTTGAAGATGGCATTGTTGTTTCACAAAAACATATAAGGATGTCAATAAATAATACTACAAATTTTAGATATTTTAGGTTAAGTAACAATTTATCTTCGTATCATTTTTGGACGTTTACAGAATATAACAAATTTTCGTCTTCGTGTACACTTATAGGTCTGATTACAATTTTGTTCTGTACGAGTTACTTGACCACTTCCTATAAGTTATAACTAGTTAACCGCAGAATAAAATCCAAACAAAAGCGAAGTGAGGCAAGGACATTTTCATGGCTACTACTATCTTTTGCCTGAAATTATATCGTTTAATTTTCTCGGAACAACCATCTATACATTTACTTTATAAAATTAAATCCAAATAATTCACTCGAGCAGATAATTATGAATGTCGCTAAGGATGTTCCAATACTCACTTTCCTTATTCGCCTACTAATATGTAAATTGCATTATGCTCTAACACCCTACAAGAAAATACCATAAAAACATTTAAATAAGTATATAAACAACACTGTGTTGTTTATATACTTATTTTACGGAAAATTCATTGTTGTGTATGATTTCCCAAGAGTTCACTACGTTATATTTAAAACATACACGTTTTCTACCTAACATGCGTAATCTTTTTCTCACGTAAATATTCCTTGATGTACGATTTTATACGTAACGTTTTTATGATCTATTATGTAGATTGCTCGGCAATATCGTGCAATGAATATGTTATTCAAAATTCAGATATTGACAGACGTTGAAGGGCCGTAAAGTGTTAGTGCTTAGAGAAATTGCTATCATTGTGTCGAGTAGCCTTCTGTTGAGAGGCCTTTGTTGTGTTATGTGGAGCGCTCTCTATTGCCTTTCCAATAAACTCCTACAAGGATTTCACACTTATTGAAACGATTTTTACATTTAACATTTCACTGTACTTCTGAAAATCTTATTTCTTTTTAAAGATCTCATATTAGATTGTTAAATTTACATTTGCATTCGAAAATTAGCTCGTTCTAGCGGTAAAATAAAACACATCGTCAGACAAACTTTCAAGGTATAATTTTACTCGTCATGTTTGTAAATGCATTTGCAGGTCCCGCTTCGGTCTGTACTTGGTCGATTTTGACAGTCCCAATAAGACAAGGACGCCGAAGCATTCAGCTAAGTTATACTCCTCCGTAATCTCCACTAGAAGCTTACCAGCGGACTATGACCCGGAAGACTTCAGCGCCTTTTCCGGGGTATCTAACCCCGTCCCGACCCTGCTACCCATCATAGCAATTTTGTACAGACTACTGTAGAATACCTCATGTACAATACTTTTTTTTGTAAATAAAAACTGTACAACGCTAAGGTTAAACTATCAATAATTTTAAGTAACATTTAGTTTCATTCAACTTTATCCCTTAAAACTAAGCATAGGCTAAATGAGAAGAATTTGGTTATGTTAATACTCGACGGTCACAACTTTGCTGGCGTTGTCACGTTCTACGTCTCTCTTGAGTCCGGCTTGAATGCACGCGAACGACTTGCCCTTTGTTTCTGGTAATGCTAACAGCATGTATACAAGTCCCAGTAAAGAGAACGCAGAAAAACCCCAGAATACTGTGTAGAAACCAAAGTGTAGTCCCACGACCTGTAATGACCAAGGTTAATTTTTAATTAACTAAAAAAATAAAGAATTGAACTCGAGATTTCGATATTCATACACGTAGCATAATGTTCAAAATCAAGCTTAAAAAACTAAGTGAGATTTTTGTGTATTTTTTTATTGCATGAATATGTAATTTTATTACATTTTCTATTACGTTATGAAAAATACTCATATAACAGATGAAAATGTATTTCTCATAATTTTGTAATATATATTTATATTTCATATTCATTATTATAATTAGAGATGGAAAAAAAACTGCTTATTTTTTTAAACGTTAAAACGTTATGCTTTTTTTAAAGTGTGCTTTTCTAAACGCTTTTTACTTTGGAACTTACACAACTGTTGAGCAAAACGTTTAAGCGCATAGACTTTTATGTTAAAAAAAGCTTGCATCGTTGCGTTGATAGCGAAAAGCAAGGGTAGACCACTAAAGGTATTAAGTGTATTTGTGAAACATGGGCTTTATTTTTATTTATAATAATATTATTCACGTTTCCGAATTAATTTGTTTAGGAAATATAAATGGCGGGACTTGAAACTAAAGCACGTTGTAAAAAATCAAATAGTAGATTATTGAACTAACCAATGCTTACGCTTAAGTTAAAAAGCGTGCATAAGTGCTTATTTTAAAAAGCAAACTGTTTTAAGTGCTTTTCGTAAAAACACCCATTTCTAATTATAATAATTACAATTAATATATGAAAAAAGGCGTGGTAGCTTAATGTTTGGTAACTGTCTAGCAGAGGTTCGTAGGTTCGAATCTGCGCGTGAACTTCTGATTTTTCGGGATTTATGTGCAAAATATGATTTAAAATTTATTATGAGCTTTTCGGTGAAGGTAAACATCCCGAGGAAACCTGCACATATCTGCAAAACAGTTTAAGGATGTGTGTGAAGCTCCCAAGCCGGTCTGTACTCGCTTCGGAACTACAGCCGACGCCCTGTCATAGTGAGAGAAGGTCTTTGCCTAGCAGCGCGACTATATAGACGAACTATTTTTTATTTACAAATAATATGGGTTCAATTAATTCATAGAGCTCTTTAATTCATAATCATTTCTATAAATAAGTTAAGAAGTAAATAATACGCACCGTAAATAGTTTTTGGACTGTAAACATGGCGATGCCAGTGTAGATATGCGCGATGCAAGACGCGTATAGTTTCACGTTTGTTGGGAACATTTCACCGATGATAACGTAGGGAACCGTCGAGAGACCAATGGCGTAACATACGATGTACACTATCAGCGCTGCCATAGGAATCCAGTCAACACTCGAAACGTTTGCTTTCTGGTAATCTTGAAAGAAGAAGAATGTTCCGACTGTGCCGTTCATCAGACCGACTCCTAAAGCCGAGAGTAGTAGAAGAGGTTTCCTTCCAACCCTATCAACAAGGAGGACCGAAACGGTGCAAGTAGCAACTTGGACGCAGCCGAGTACGATGGACTGGTGATGAGGTTGAATGGTGTTTGCAGTTTTTGAGAATATCGTCTGCGCATATGCCACCACTGCTGCACTACCGCATAGTTGCTGTATGGTAAATATTCCAATACTAAGCCACAAGGCTTTCCTGTTTGTAGCTTCTGTGATCAAATCACTCCAGGTGCCCTTGTTTTTCATGTCTACTTGAACATTAAGTTCTATATTTTTTAGTTCAGTTCTAATATCTCCGGAACGCAAATTCCTGAGAGATCGTTCTGCTCGCTCACTGCGATCTTGTTTCAAGTAGAAGTATGGTGATTCAGGTAGGAAAATGAATGTAAGTACGAACGTAATGGGCAGGATCAAGTTGATTCCGGCGAGGGCTTGTATCGACACATAGGGGCCGATGCAGTACTGGGCAAGAATACCGACCTGAAAAAATAATGATGAAATGTTAGCTTATATGGATAAAGGATTATTTGTAAGTATTACGACTATGATCGATATTGATCTGATCAATGTCAAGTATTCTGTTACAGGCAGATAATTAGGATTACAGTCGTGAGTGTTCTCCTATCTTCAGAATGACGTACGTACGTTGATACGGGGCTATATTATAGTTCACGTGCATGCATATTATAATGTCTATTATCATAGAGATAAAGTAACAAAGCCCATTTATGTGAAAACTCACTTCTCAGTTAGCAGAGACAATTTTACATTATATTGGCGATGCATTGCGGCGTAATATAGTACCTAGTTGATAATACAGAGAACAATAGTTGGCACGATAAATTGTCAGGCAATACATGTTATATCATACAGAACTATCACATTTAATGGTATTGCATAGTTCAAAATTAACACTGAAGTTTTTTACTTTACATTTTCACTTTGCAATGCATAATGTGTGTTTGTTATTACTTATATTTCCATTCCACTACGAATAAAAATAATTAATTTTAGATTTATTGTCTCTATTTCGATAATTAATTATTAATATTATAGTGTTTAGTGTGTGTGTTTTTTGTTTCCAATTAAACAAGAATAATAATTCACTCCTAACTTAATGCTTGTAGAGTATATTAATTACAAATGTTTAAGAAAATGTTATTCCATGCTAATTTGAAATCATCTCAGTTGTTTTTGACACAAATTTGCACGTTTGGTATTCTGCTAAAAGCTTAAGAGAAATGGCTAGCCATCGGGCTAATAATATTCAACTGCCATTGCAATGTTTTGGTATCCTGCTCTACGATAGCACGTAGTAGTCTACTAATATTATATATATTTAATTTGAAGACTAAATTGCAGATTAAACGAGACAAAAATTAAGATATGCATAGTAATTTCCATTTTAGTTTTAGTAAGGCAACATTAATCGTGATCATTAGTGACAGAATGAATGATGACAATCATTGCCATTTCACTGACTGCAACTAAATTTTAGCAGAATACCAAATATTATCATAGTTGCAATATATCTTAGTGGAGTCTCAGTGGAATTACTATGACCCGTGGTTTCGAAAAAAATTTGCAGCATTGGGGCCCTGGTGGTTGAAACACGGACCGAAATTCGTTTAAGCTTCAATCTGACACAATGTTTTTATTTTTGGAATTACTTAAATATATATATATATATATAATATAGTTTTTAGTGTGAAACTACGGACCCCCTGTCATCTTCATCTCCCTCATTATGCATTTTCTAGGAAACGCCCTTACTTTTCCTGATTCCTGAATTCATTCATGAAAGTATACTATAATATTAG